TAATGCCGATTGTGGACTCTCTCTTCTCTCCCTCCTTCTCTCCCCCATTGCTGCCCGCAGTACTCGGTATGGGAGCCCCAAAAGACAGCTCCAGTTTTACAGGTAACGCGCTCCGCTTCCCTAAGCCGGCGCCCAGGGCAGGGGTGTGGGTGGGAGGGCTGAGCGCTCCGGTGCGCAGGGTGCGCTGGTGGTTTCTCGGAGATAGAATTCCCCGACGAGGTCCGGCCTGTTCCCGCGCGCGCCCCTCCCGCGCCCTTTCTCCTGTCCTGGCCGAGACCGTGAGGTCGTGAGGTCATGAGGTCGGGTCGCGGGCTGATCTGGAATCGGCTTTGATTTGGGCAAAGGGGCTGGTGACACCTGCTCAGCTCGCGGGCGCCCCCTAAAGCCTTCCTCGGGCGCGGAGGAGGCGCTTTCCTTGCCGTCATGGGTCAGGGTTTCGGGGTTCCCAGAGTAAAAGACGCTGCGGCCAGCCTGTCCGCTGTCCGCTGTCCGCTGTCTTTGGATGTGAGCTGATGGCAACCTCTTGGTAATCACAGGCCAGCTCCCGCTCAGGGTGTGCGGCTCTGGCTCCGGGTCCGAGTGGCCTGGATGGGGGAGGCGGACTCGCTGGCGTCGTTCTGATGCGTTTCCTTGTCCCTTGTCGGTGAATCAGCGCCCCGTGTCGCAGGGCGAGAGGCTCTGTCCCCAGGGACGCGGTGCCGAGGGCACAGGCAGGTCGGTCAGCAGGGCTGGCTTAGGCTGTCCCGCCACCTCCTGGGCAGCCGCTTCCCAACCCGCACAGCAGGGAGGCGCCCCAGGAGGGCGGTGCCCCAGGAGGGAGGCGCCCCAGGAGGGCGGTGCTTCCCGAAAGCCTGTACCTCTAGGTACTTACTCTGCCACTTTTCTCCTTTTGGGAAAATGTCAGGATGGGGGTCCGCGGGGCACCCCGCCGCCCTGGGACGGTGTGGGGACTCCGTGCGGCTCTTGGGGGCAGGGCCCTGGTGTCTGGCATTCGGGCCTGGGAAGCCGCTGGGTCCAGAACCAGCTCCCCAGCGTCAAGCACACCCACCTGTGACGGGGCGTGGGGGTTCCTGTGACGCACCAGGCATCTCGGGCAGTGGGTGCAGGGCCACGCTGGGCCCCCGCATGGCTCTTTCCCTCCCAAAGCCCTGGCACCCCTGTCCGTGACCCTGGCCTGGGTCCTCGGGCTAATTTTGCCGCTGCTTCAGGGCCTCCCATGCGGCCCCCCCCTTACAGAGCGCGCTAAATAGATGCGCCCGCCTTGGTTGCACCCACAGTTTTGCTAGGCATGGTTTTGCCTGAACCAGTTGGGTGTGAACCTGGGCTTGCAAATGCGCTTGGATGAAATGTGCATTGTGGTGTCTGTATGCAACGGCCCAGCCGGTCAGAGCGAGGGGGGGAGCCGTCCCAGCAGGACCTGACCAGTGAATCCCTACGTGCATGGGCACTGCACCCTCCGACACCCGGCCGCCTCACTCCCGGGAGGAAAGAAGCACGAGACAGGCAGGCGGGAAAGGCCCCGTGGGCGTCCTCGTCACCCAGGCACTGACGTGGCTCCCGGTGGCTTTAAGTCAGTCAGCCATGCATGCAGTGGAGCCTCTCCGGGAACAAGGCAAAGGTGTTCAAGGCATGCCCTGCCCTCATCCCTGTATCCGTCAGCTGTTAACAGAATGCTGCATAACAAACAGCCCCCAAACTCATTGCTGTTCAAGAGCCGTTCATTTCTGCTTGTGTGTCGTGGGTTGAATAGAGCCGGTCCCTCCAGGCTGGACGCGGCACTGAGCTGCAGGTTGGGTCCAAGTGCTCCTCCTCCCGTCCTTGCTAGCCAGGGCCTGTCCCAGGCCCGTTCTCCTCGTGGCAGAAGCGTCAGGGGGAAAGCAGAAACCTGTAGGGCAGTGGTTCTCAACCTTCCTAATGCCGCGACCCTTTAATACAGTTCCTCATGTTGGGGTGACCCCCAATTTCATGGTTACAAATTGAACATAATTAAAGCATAGTGATTAATCACAAAAACAATATGTAATTATATATGTGTTTTCCGATGGTCTTAGGCGACCCCTGTGAAAGGGTCGTTCGACCCCCCAAAGGGGTCACGACCCACAGGTTGAGAACCGCTGCATCTGAAGGCCAAGGTTAGAACCCACGCACTGTCACTTCGGCACATTCTTTTGGCCAAAGTGAGTCCCATGACCCAGCCCGATGTCAGAGGGCAGGAAAGATACTCCCCACCATCACCCCCGTGGGAGGAACCAGTGACACAGGGACAGAGGGTCGGCAACAGTAATGCCACCTGCCCAGAGCCCAAATGCCCCAGTAGTGTCCAAGGTGGACCGCGTCTGGGAGAAGGCTCAGGAGCTGCCGGGGACCTGAGGAGGACGGGGCCACAGCCCGCCAAGAGTCAGGGAGGCTCCGCGGAGAAGGCAGCTCGGGGCTCTGAGCTGGACCTTGAGGTCTAGACAGGATTCAGCACAGAACCAGGAAGAACGTTCCAGTCGAGGCGACAGCCTGAGCCACGACTCAGAGAGGTGCACAGAGAACAGGAAATGGTGGCTTCACAGACGGGCCGTCAGGCCTGGGACAACATGTGACAGGATTGTAGAGGTGGGTGGGGGCCTGAGGAGGGAGGAGCTTGGGCTGCATCATGGGGCCCTGGGGAGCCATGGGCGGTGTTTGAGCAGGGCAGGGACCTGGTTCTGCTGCAGCGAGTAAGGCTGGATGTGGGCGACCAGGAGAGAGAGAAAAGGCTAAACCTTGAACCGCAGGAGCCACTGGAAGAGGGAGGGAGGGGGCAGGGCGCAGGAACCAGGTGTCTGGAGCTGGTCCATGGGCTTGTCAACCAGGACAGAGCAGCCATGGCCTGGGGGAAGGAGACAGTCCTCGTTCGAAGCATGTCAGGCCGATGACCGCCAATCAGTGAGGCCCAGGGCCACCTCCTGCCCAGGGGGACACGTGAGGGACGTAGTGGACTCGGGCCTTTGAGAAAAACCATCTCACTTCCGTAGCAGGCCTTTCCAGACGATAACACCGCCAGTCACGCCCGTGTCCTCTAGGGCCATGCATGCACATTCCACGTGCTTTCTCCTC